ACGTACATTCATAAATTATGTGGTGTAAAAGCACATTGGTATTAAACTGGGATAACTCCTGGACATAAACTAGTATATCTTCTATATCTAAGATCTATATCTATATATACATAAGTGTAATACATAGTCTTATTTTAACTTCTATCTTGGGTTCATACTCAACCTCAGCCGTCCATCACATACAATGCACAGTCCTTGATCCTTCGAGTTGCATCTGGTATCAATGAGAAAAGAATTCTTTAGTGTTAACAATATCATTAACGCCGGTGAGTACCTCCAAAGATGTAAGTTATCTAAGACCCTGAATTGAAGATGAAAAATGAAATTTGTTCAAACAAAAAAAAAACATGCATGACTATACGTTTCATGTTGTAAACACTACCTGATACTCCCTCGTCCCCTTTTATTTAACCAAATTTTGACTTTTTAAGTCAACGATGTTAAATTTTGGAAGAGTATATATGTATACATGGGAATACCGATAATATGAAAATGATATAAAAGTGTACTTTGTTAAAAATATTATCATAGAAGTACAAATTTATTAAATTTCACATAAATATATTAGTTACAATAATGGATCAATGTTTACCAACTTTGGCCGAAAAGTGAAATAAAAAGGAATGGAAATAGTATTCAAATTGACTAATTTATCAAATTAAATAAATATGAAATGGAAAATCTAACATATAAGATATACTCCATATTATATTACTATTTTATGTATAACTTTTATCACTTAAACATATCATATTTAACTAATATGATTTGAACTCTTTGTTTAATATGATGGTCAAACCCCTAAAACACTTTGCTCATTGATGTTTGCTAACATAATTCAACAGCTACTCATCATTAACAATATCCGTTGATTTCTTAACGAGGCAAGTTTGAAAGTAAAAGGACTTAAAATCACGAATTATAAGATACTATCTTCCGTTCCGTAAAAGTTGCAACAGTTTGACTTTCACGTTTGTCAACGCGCAACTTTGATTGTAATTATATTTATTTACCTATTAGTAAACATTAAAAAAAGTTAATATATTGGAAATTTACATTAAAACAAATTTATTAATATTTTATACATACTGTTTTTATTATATATATTATTAGAAAATCGTAGTCAAAGTAAGGTGTGTGAATAGTGCAGAAATTCTAATGTTGTAACTTTTATGGAACGGATGAAGTATGTAAAGTAAAATGTTATTTCGGATTCCCGGTGACTCGGTCATATATATGGGGAGTGTACCTAGACACAGTCACGAACTCAGAAACTAAATGAATATTGGGGGCGTTAACAATATTATACCATATATAGAATAATATAATACTCCCTATATCACAATTTTTATAGAGGATTTCATATAATACATTTACCCATAAATGCATAATTATACTAGGACAAGTTGAAAAGAAATTAATTAACAAAATCTTTACACAAAAATGATGCGCACAGGATATTAAACTTTGGATTCTAGGCTGGCCCTAAAGCTAATGGGAGTCTCCACTAAAAATGTGTAGTGATGGTGATGTCACATAGATTATATGACTCCATAAAAGGAGTCATGTATATCTCTTCAAAAAATTACATTCATTCCTAGTTGTCAAAGATTCTCTAAAATCACGTCAAAGAATCACTTTTAAAGTAAAAGCAATCTAAAACACTCCCTTAATCATGGACCCATCATTCGCTTTCTAAGTAACTATTTTTTATCCCTATTTATGAATGATGAATGAATAAGGCTTTTTTTAATCAATTGAAAATTTAAGGGTGTGTTTGGGAGTTAACAAGGGTTTTGGAGGGAATGAGATGGTTAACAAGGGTTTATGGTCCTCCCTTTCATGTTTGGGAGTTACAAAATATGGAGGGGATGGTTTTGGAGGGCTTTTATAACCCTCCAAAACCCATCAAATGCTCAATTTTAATTTTAAGTTTCCCCAAATTGGGGGATTTTGAAAGATAACTAATTAAATGACAACTTTAACTCAATTTTAAATAAATATAAATTCAATTATTTGATTTTGTCACATATGTGAAGTGATATTAATTATAATTCATCCAAAATTTTTATCTTTTCAAACTTGATACTCCCAAACAAGAAGAAGAATTTCCAACCCTTTCACTCCCCTTCCCTTCCCACGATTAACCTTCAAAACCTTCTCCTCTCCTTCCCTTCAAATTCCCAAACATACCCTAAGGGATATGTCTTATGTATGCATGTGACTCATACATTACGTAACTATATTCATTTTTTATCATTTGTTGTTTCTTTTTTCAACAAAATTGCACATCCCATTCTTCGAGTAACTAACTTTTGATCTTAATTGACATCTAATGCCGCATATTGTACGCAGTTTACCGGCCGGGCTTGCGAGGAAGGTGATAAGATAGGTAAAGAAAAATAAAAGTATGAACTGAAGTGCTTTTTAGGCTACCAAATAGCATACAAACAAGATCGTTGATCTCCCAAAATTACACATACATACATTAGAAACACTTGCGAACCATTTTTCAAAGAACAGATTGCACTTTTAGGCCCCGTTTGGTTGGAGGGTTTCGGAGGGGAGGGGAGGAAAGTGGGGGATTAGTGTGTGTTTGGTTGAAGAAAATAGGGGGGAAGGGGAGGAAAGTGGAAGACTTTTAAAATCCTCCACTTCCTCACATTCTAAACCCCCCAAATCGGGGTATTTCGGAGGAAACGTGTCAATAACCGCAAACTATTTATCTTCTACGTGAATGAACAAAACGTTATAATATAAAAAGGTAAAAAACTAAAAATTTTGAAAAATTAAAAAATTAAAAATTTAAAAAATTTAAAGATTACAAATTTTAAAAATTATAAAAATAAAAATTTTAAAAATTAAAAAATTAAAAAATTATAAATTAAAATTTTAAAATTTAAAAATAAAAAAATTTAAAAATAAAAAATAAAATATTAAAAATTCCAAACTGAAAAATGAAAAATTATAAAATTAAAAAAGTAAAAAATAAAATAAAATAAAATAATGACTCAAGACCATAGGAGTAATATTCACAATAGTTAGACATGTATCTATTTTTTTAAGTAAGCTATAAAATAAAAGTAAATTGCAAAAATATTTTGATTAAACCTTTCCTCCCATTACCTCCAACCAAACACAATTTTTTATCAAAATCCTTCCTTCCCCTTCCCTTCCCTTCCCTCCTTGACTCTCCCCTTCCCTCCCCTCCTTTGAACCAAACAAGGCCTTAGGGTGTGTTTGGGAGTTGGGTTTTGGAGGGGAGGGGAAGATTTATGGAGGTTTATAATCCTCCTTTTTATGTTTGGGAGTAGGAAATTGAAGGGATGGTTTTGGAGGGCTTTTGTAACCCTCCAAAACCCTCCAAATGTTCAATTTTTAAGTTCCCCCAATTTGATGAGTTTTGAAGGGTATTAATGAAATAATAATTTAAGCTTACTTTAAAATGAATATCAATTAAATTATTTGGATTTGTCATATCTCAAGGTGATTTTAATTATAATCCCTTAGAATACTCTCTTTTTCCAAATTTATTAATCCCAAATACAAAGAAGGGTTTCATCACATTCCCCTCCATTTCCCCTCCAACAACATACCTTCAAAGCCTTCTTCTCCCATTCCTTCCAAACTCTCAAACATACCCTTAGAGTTTTAATTCTAGAGGTGCAACTTTGGTTCAAGTGAGAAATGCATCTAATGTAAGAAATGAGAATAAATCTCAATCGTTAGATTAGGCGATGTTGCACTAAAAATAGCTTCATGGTGCAACATAATTTATATTTTGCAATGTTGCACTAAAACTATATCATGCTGCAATAAAATTTGACGATGATGAACCAAAATAACTTCATATTGCACTACACAATACAGATTTTTCAGTAGTATTTACACAAATGGCACAACGCCCGGTTACTAATTTCAGTGCAACATGTAGTTTATTTTACTTCAACATAGTCAATCAAATCCAACACCTGAGAGTTGTTCTCATTTCTCACCTTAAGACTTCTTCTTATTTGAACCTTATCCCTAGAAGTATTACGTAGTATATAAAAATAGATCCTACACATCCTCTACATCTTTTGACTATCCATTTTTCAATCCGCACAGGTAACTCAATTGGTCAAGTTATGGGAAAGTTGTAGGATTGATCAAGGATCGAAACCCGCAGCGGTCGTGTGGAAGTTACATCTCCCGTGTGTTGTGCTAGACCTCTCGTGTACACGGATACAAGGTCTTCACTATTGTGCAGGTTGAGTCACTGTGACTTACAACCTTACAAATGCCTTGTGGAGTCCGTGCGTGGAGCGCATGGGATTGGAGATTCAACCTTTTGGAGAAATGACTATCCATTTCTCATATATGACTATTGTTCTTTAGTATTTGTGATCCTTCCATTTATATCAGTGGTGCTTATAATCGCTTGAGAGGTGTCATGTGAGGCAAATTTTGGTCATGACTATGAATGTGCAAAAAGTTGTCATGTATCACAAGCTCAAAAACAGGAAACAAATGTGGGATTGACATCACACTTTTCAATATACAAAAGCAGAATAATTTTTTTTTATCAAATTTACCTGAAAATGAGCTATGGGAAGAAATCATCATGGTCACCAAAGGTGAAATTGGAGTCAAATCTCATTGTGGCAAAAGGGAATCCTTGGTCAACGGCAGATGAGTTTGTCGTTTCAACTGCCCTTGAAAGAGGGAGAGTGATCCTACTAGCTTCACCAAATGCAGCTAAGTTTGATTTCGGCGCCACATTTTGGCTTCCGCCGCCTGCAATAAGGCCAAAGCCGCCTGACGGAACATTCCAGCCGAAGTTCTGGTCGTAAAGTTGGAGATCATAATGATCAGAATTTGAGTTTGACGAAGAGAGGTTGTCAAAATAATTGAACAATAGATGGTTTTCTTGATGAGCAATGTTCAAATTGCTGGTTTCAACTTTAAGGACATCTCCTGATGAGCGTTGGGCTTGTTTTGTGAAGGGGTTAATCACTAGTTGGCTTTCCATTGGTGAGATTATTGGTTCTTGATTTTGCGGTGGGATTAGCAGCGGCGGTGGCGGTGGCGGGCTGCCGCTACCGGGTTGGAACTGCTTGCAAGCGTGCTTTCCACGGAAAGTAATGTCGAAAATGTTCGGGTCCTCATCCGATCTTTGGACATGTTTGGTTGCCAAACAACCTTGGGTGTGTCTATGGGCACATCTGAAATAAGCTCTGCAAATGTGCATAATTAAAATCAAGAATAAGTTTAATTAACTCAATGCAATGCCCAAAACTGCTCAAGTTTGCCCATACTTATTAAAGTGTTCATTTATACTAGGGAAAAATGTCCTCGAACTTTCATAAAAAAGTCAATTAAGTCCTTCTATAGAAGACTCTGTCCGGTCATCGCGATTTGGGGCGGTTCCCGGTAGAATTTTTTGATGAAAATTTTTTAGCATCTTATTTATCAAGTCTAGTTTACTCATACCAAATTTCAGCTAAAAATTTAATCGGGAACGCATTCATATTAATTCGAGAACGCACAAATGCGCAGTTATCTTCAAGAATTAATTTGATTGTGTTCACGATTGAATTTTTAGCTGAAATTTGGTATGAGTAAACTAAACTTGGTGAATAAGATGCTCAAAAAATTTCATCAAAAAATTCTACCAGGAACTGCCCCAAATCGCGACAGCTGGACAGAACCTCCTATAGAAGGACTTAATTGACCTTTTTATGAAAGTTCGATGACCTATTTGACAGTTTTCCCTTTATGCTACTTTGATTTTGATTTTAATACTTCGCCAGACTTTTCTTTTTACTCGGTAGTTCCCAAAAAAAATGTCATTTTCTTGTTAATGTAATTAATAATTAATAATGTGCGTCTAGGGTGCGGTTCCGGGGAGAACACTCCTTAACGTGAGAAATGAGAACACTCCAAAACGATGCACTTTATCCTTCACAAAACTGCACATTTATAGTTAAAGTAATGCAAAATTCTAATGTGCACATTTACGTTTAAAATTTTGCGCAGACGAAATGCACATTTTCCAATTTTTTTATGCACGTTTCTGTTTTACATGATGCACAATGCTCAAATCCAACGTTCCAGAATCATTCTCATTTCTCTCCTAATATGGTATTCTCATTTGATCCTTCAAGTTCTGACGGAACGAGAATATATGACAATGAATCACACCAGGAGCCCAGGAGGCATATTCATATACTCCGTAATATGTATAAAAAGTTTATTGAACTATAATTTAGAAGAAGCTAAACTTATCTTTTTGAAATTAAGTCATGTTTTCAGAAAATGCAGCATATCCTAAAACAAGTTGGGTCTATTTATGAAAATGTTCTATGCAGTTGGCGGACCCAGAACTTTTCTGAAGCGGGGTCAAATCGGGTGTATCATTAGTCTTTTTTTCAAGTGCGTTCAAATTTTTTATTTTTAACTGGAAATAGATTATTCAATGATGGCTTCAAGCAATGAACATATATGGATTATAAGTCTAATTTTGAACTTATTAAGACAATTCTAAACAATATATATGGCTTTTTGAAAGAAAGATATAATTTGGATCAGAAATGATTCACCTTTGCACCGTTTCTGGTTTTACATTAGAATTCTCGCTACTTTTCATACTATAAAATGATCAAGATTTCATATCTGAACTAGATTCATGTTGAATGTTACACATTGTGCCACAAAATTTGTTGGTACTTGTCTGGAATATAATACTATTGTGTTAAAAATAAAGTATAGATCATGTTCATGATTTCATTCTTTAATACAATTTTATTTAATAATATGATTCTATATATCTAACATTCATTATATTATAGATAAACAAAATTCAAAGAGTCTGTTGGTTTGAAACTAATTTATCGCGAATTGACACATTTTTTCATGTATAGACTTCTATTCAAGATAAAAGTCTTGCATCTATTAAGCTCATCCTACATATTAGAACACTTGTCATATCTTTGACTTTTAACTTTGGACAACCATTATTTACACCAATTAAGAAAATCATCAATGTCACTTTTCAAACAAAGTGTAGTAATCAATGTCTAACTATATGGATTTGCTCCATCACAACTTCGTGGTTATTTATAATTTATGCTATACATAGTAACTATAGTAATATTTATGTCCATTAGTTCTACTTAGGTAATACTTATGAAATAATCTCTAGTTTTTATGACCGCGTAACGGGGGCACAATTTTTATCTTTAAGTACTAATCTTAAATTTCGAGGTCGGAAGCGGGGGCACTTGCCCCCCTAGGTCCTCCACTGGACTTCTATGCTTAGCCTTAACTGTGAAAGTTATTGAAGCTAAGATGGGAGTGGCCATATTAGTAATTAAAACAATTAATGAGCAAAAATACAAAATTAAAATGTGAACCTTGGATATCTGGTTCCATGGATTTCTTTCTGCCCATATTTTCTCCAACTATAGCCGTCATCAACATTTCCTTCAAGCTCTGATCCCTTGCAAACCTTAACTTTTTGCGTCCAACGAGGAGCTTTCCTGCAAATCCAATTCCCGGGAAAAGGAATTGTACTGGTCATGACACAAAATGAAAACAAAACCGACTAAAACCGACCAACTCACCCGTGGTTTGGTTTACGATTATATTTTGGGTTAAAAAATCGATTGAATCGGAACCGACCGACAAACCCAATCAAAACGTGATTGAGCTTATCGGAATCGAATAATCGATACAAATCGATCAAAATTAACTGAACCAAAATCAATCGAAACCATCTCAAATGTGTGGTTCGATTCTTGGTTCGTTTCACCTTTTTTAAAATCATGCCAGTGGCAAAGTTTTAAAAAGACAAATAAAAAAGGAAAGTTTGAAAAGTAGAGTGGAATGGAGGTTACATACCTTTTCTTGCGAGACCCGTCGCCATCCCGGTCGGAATCTTCACTGTGGGGACTGCCGGAAAGGGAAGAAGAAGATACAATCCCAAATGTGGCCCCTGCCGGAGATGGTGGGACCGCCGTCCGAGTAGTGTTCGCCGTCGAAGATTCGGAATTAAGCATGGCGAGCACCTTTTCGTAGGAAGACAGGACATTCTGAACCAGCTGCTCGCAAGTTTCTTGATCAGAACGGGGCGGCGGCGGCCCGTTCAGAATCACCTGAAGTTGCGCGGCGGCGTCCCGCCCGAGAGATAGCTCACTTATCAGCTTCTTCATTTCTCCATCGACTCCCTCCATTTCTGCAACACGTACGAATATTCTGATTGTTGAGGAAAGTGAAGATGATGTAGTGAAAGCAGCATGAAGTAAAGTGGGTTAACTTATGGAGATGAAAATGGAATTAAATTAAAGAAGGTCATATATATAGAGGGTGGCCGGAGAAAGGCATTTCAAGATTTTTAGTCTTACTGCTGACCGGGGAAAGTGGGAATGCTCATCATTCTCCCCAGCTTAGACCGGTCAGTGGTCAATAGAATTGAAAATTGAAGAAAGGAAGCCATTCTTACAGCTGACCCATTCCAAGATTTGAATCGTTAAAGCCTTAAAGGTTCGTTAAAGGTTAATTAAAGAATGAATAAAAAAAGTAGATTCTATGGTACCCATAAGGTACCATATCTTTGTTCACATGTACCAATGAGAATGTAGCAGTTGAATTATTTAAATCTAAATTAAAAATAATAAAGTGGTGTGGTCCAATCAAATGAATGGTAGGTACGGTACCCCATTTTTTAGAAAGGTACCGGAGTTGTCACCTAAAAAAATGGGGACAACTCTCATATTCATTTAAAAAATGAGGTACCGTACCTATCATTCATTTGATTGGTCCGCGTCATTATATTATTTTTAATTTAGATTTAAATAATTCAATTGCAACATTCTCATTGATCCATGTGCACAAATGTATGGTACCTTCTGATAACCATAGAATCTACCTAGTTAAAAATTGGTCCAATGAGTATCGCACCAATTTTACAACAAAAAATTTATTTGTACACGTTTTCTTATACACGTTCTTATACACTTGTCTGTGTAAGTCATTTTTTTGTCTGTGAACGAGATTCACAGACAAAACTTGTATGTGGATATTTTTTTGTCCGTGACAGACAAAACACGCCGATTCACAGACAAAAAAATGATTTGTCACAGACAAGTGTATAAGAACGTGTATAAGAGCGTGTACAAATAGAATGACTCATTTTACAATTAGTTCATATCTTTGACATTGACTACTTTTGATACATAATGATTGTTTTTCGCTTGTTGGGATATATATTAGGGCACGACCCAAGTACGAACCCAAGATATCCCTAAAAGGTCGAGGTTCAACGGGATCCAACTAACAAAGAGCATGCACGGGAAAGACCGACGGGACCCACCAAACGGGCCTAAACACCACACTTGGCGGAGAAGAGAGCTAGTCATAGAGAACCGGTCCAAGGAAATTGGCGGAAAACCTCCTTGCTAGCGGGAGGTGCAATTAATGCAAGAGGGTCATCCACTTAGAATCGGTCACATCACCCCCTCAACTACTCATGAGCAGACCTCCCTCCCCCTATTTTTCTTTGGGAAATTTCCTAGAATATGACTAAACTTAATGAGTTTCTCAATCTATGACTTAACTAGTTTTTGGACTTTTATATGACCGAAATTCCAAAAATAAAATAAAATAACATTTTTAATGTAAAGTTGAATGACGAAAATGCCCTTATTTTTAAATATGTGCATTTTGCACTTATTTCGTCCAATTAAAATCACTGCATTTTATATTGTCGTTACTGCACGACATTACTGCACGGCATTACTACACATCCGGTAATAATCAATGCACTTCTGCCAAAATTAATTCTCTTTTCATTCACATTACGAAATTATCTATAGTTTTTATTTTTTATTTTTTTAAATTTAATAATTTTATTATTTTATGTCTAATTAAGTATATTGCGTTCCATGATGAAATTACTGCTCTGTGTTACTGCACTACCAGTAATAATCATTACACAACAAACTTTTTCAATGCATTCAATCACTGCCATGTACAATATATATATTTCCATATTCACTGTCATTTTCAAGAATATCTATGATGATATTCACTGCCCATGTTCAATGCCCGTTTTTTATGCCAACAAACCCTAATTTTAGAAACTCTAAATTTCAAAAATAGAAAACCAAAAATGAGAATGAGGGGTAAGAATGGAATGAAAAAAATAGGTATGTTTCCAATAGGACTAATATGGTCCTATTTTGAAAAGAAAATTAGAGTAAATCCTATTTTGAGTTTTTGTCATAATTTTAAAGGAATGAAAAAATAGGTATGTTTTTGTCATTATTTCCTAAAAACTGCCATTTTTTCTGAAAATGCCAAAAACATGGCATATTTCTCTTTAAGAATGCCAACATTTTCATTATTTTCTGCCATAAATATGGCATTCGTAATGAACTTGGAATTTTTTCCCCTGGTGACTGGAGGTGGTGGTGCAGAGGCGGCAGAGGCGGTGGTGAATTTTATTTTTTCGAGTTTTTTTATTTTTTTTTAAAAAATATTTTTTTTTATTTTTTGAAAAAAATATAAAAATAAATTATTATTATCGAAATATTTTTATTAATTTTTTAGTATTTTTTACGAATTATTATTATTTTTTATTATTTTATTATGAATTAAAATATTTCAATAGCTATAAGGGTATATTTATCCAAGACACACATAATTAGTCCTATGAAAACATAGTTTATTTTTTGGTCTTATTTAAGCAAAGTGAGAGACTTTTAGTCCTATTTTGATAATAAACCCTTTTTAATCTTATTACGAAAAGTTTCTCTTATTGTTGAAGGTAAGTCCCGTAGATCCGAAAGCCCAACACGAACTTTGGATATATCAGGAATGGTACAGAATCAAAGTGCATAACCAAATATAAAATATGAACTCACTAATACTCAAAAGCTCACTTGTATTAATTAACCAGTCTGATTACAAGGAAATTCCCGATCGGTAGGTCGGAAACAATGCTTTAATACAAGAAATAAGAGCAATAATGCTATTCTAGAGCCTGAGTATTGAAATGCTAACCCTTACAATGATTCTAAACCTTCTATTTATACTAATGGAGAGCATGGGCTGTTCTATGCTGATTGGCTGTTGTTTCACCGACTTGGTCACCCATGTTTCCACTTGCTGATGTCACAATCTGGCATTAATTGCACCTGGCCACTTGCCGGTTGTCCATTGCTCGAACGGGATGTTGGACCATGCTGAAGGCGCTGTCAAATTGGCCCAAGTATGATATATAGTCCGAACTCCGTTCGGTATATCTTCTTACTGGGCCAACCCTTTCTTGGGCCGAATCTCGTTCGGCATGAATTCTTCACTGGATCTACTCATCATAGAGTGATGGGCTCTTCATTTGGGCCAGGTATCTTGGGCCTTCTTGATCCGGGTATTGGGCCTCTGGATCAATATCCCAACACAAGTCCCCCACTTCCGATGTCTCGAATGACAGTGAGTGCATTAGGAAGTATGAACACCAATGTTGCAATTCGCCGAATGGCGATCGGGGTACAGAAGTAGTCAGTTCCCCATCCTGTGATTTGACGGCTGTCGTTTTATTTTCCCATACTCATCATGATAACCGTCGTTTAGTCTTTTCATTGGACACACGTTTAGCTTAAATGCTTCTGATGACGTGTCGCTTCCTGATTGGTCCTCGATACGGCAATTTAAAGGCTATAAATCAGCTGGTAGAGCACGTGGCATTAAGTGGTTATGATTAACCAGGGGCATTTATGGTTCATCTTTAGGCACGTACCCCGAACGGGCAATACAGAAATATGATTGCGAATACTGGTTAACCAGGCAAACGAACGCCTAACGGGCACTTACGTTTTGAGGCAAATCTTTTCTCAAAGAAAAGCAACGAGGTCCATAGGAATGGCTAAAAACTACTCAGATCAACGAGGTCCACGGGCTAATTTATAGCCTTTAAATTGTCGTATCGAGGACCAATCAGGAAGCGACACGTCATCAGAAGCATTTAAGCTAAACGCGTGTCCAATTAAAAGACTAAACGACGGTTATCATGATGAGTATGGGAAAATAAAACGACAGCCGTCAAATCACAGGATGGGGAACTGACTACTTCTGTACCCCGATCGCCATTCGGCGAATTGCAACATTGGTGTTCATACTTCCTAATGCACTCACTGTCATTCGAGACATCGGAAGTGGGGGACTTGTGTTGGGATATTGATCCAGAGGCCCAATACCCGGATCAAGAAGGCCCAAGATACCCGGCCCAAACGACGAGCCCATCACTCTATGATGAGTAGATCCAGTGAAGAATTCATGCCGAACGAGATTCGGCCCAAGAAAGGGTTGGCCCAGTAAGAAGATATACCGAACGGAGTTCGGACTGTATATCATACTTGGGCCAATTTGACAGCGCCTTCAGTATGGTCCAACATCCCTTCGAGCAACGGACAACCGGCAAGTGGCCAAGTGCAATTAATGCCAGATTGTGACATCAGCAAGTGGAAACATGGGTGACCAAGTCGGTGGAACAACAGTCAATCAGCATAGAGCAGCCCATGCTCTCCATTAGTATAAATAGAAGGTTTAGAATCATTGTAAGGGTTAGCATTTCAATACTCAGGCTCTAGAATAACATTATTGCTCTTATTTCTTGTATTAAAGCATTGTTTCCGACCTACCGATCAGGAATTTCCTTGTAATCAGACTGGTTAATTAATACAAGTGAGCTTTTGAGTATTAGTGAGTTCATATTTTATATTTGGTTATACACTTTGATTCTGTATCATTCCTGATATATCCAAAGTTCGTGTTGGACTTTCGGATCTACGGGACTTACCTTCAACACTTATTATTTAGAAAAACACGTTTTTGCCTTCATAGATCGTGAATTTTGTGATCCTTGTTGTTTCTACCATTGATATATAATGCTTTGCTAAACCTCTGTCAACATATGGCCTATTAATTATATAACATGATATAAATGGCATCCATCAATATTGCAATATATGTGATGTATATATAGTTCGTGGCTTTAATCGTGTAGGACTGTACTAATGTTTGTTAATTTATTAAAAATTGGATCTATAATTACAACATGTTACAAATTTAAGGGATGATATATACAAAAACATAAAATAGGGACCACATTTTGAAATATGTAGAGTACAAAAGGACTCAGATTGTTCTTTTATTTATT